ATTCTACGTCTAATTTGAAAGCCTCTGCCTGTAAATCCATGACCACTTTTTTGGACTCTGCCAGAATTGTTACTTTTTCAGTGGCTTCTGGCCGTGACACAATTCTTCTTCGTTTAACTGCAACAAAAATATAATAGTTGTACTTAGTCCTAGTTTATACTACATGTATTACATTTTACAAATATTGAGAAATTGTAATATGACCTTATTATTTTATCTATTTTTATAGTGTTTTAAGCTCTATGATTTTGGGGAGTGGGTCAGGTTATTAAATAACTCGTATTACTTTGAAAAAGAATGTTGGACGCCACTATATTTAAACTTTCTAAACTTGACAAGCGATTAGTGATGAAAATATAGAAAATCACTAACCATAATGATATTATAATTAAATAAGGTAGCGACAAATTCCAATTCACAGAGACTTAATTATTCAAATTTAAATGATTTATTAAAATTTATCTGTTGAATCAGAGGTAACATTTAAGGAGTGACTGTAGAGGCCTTCTTGTTAAATTTTCATAGGTAAAGTTAAATCTCGTTAACTTCTTTCGGTGATTGAACTAAACTTCTTGATATATTCTAAAGCAGCTTGTACGTTCTTCCAAATTTCATCTAGATACAACTTCTATTGAACCATCTATATAGTTTCTATTGAACTTCTGCTGAAACCATCTATATACAGCCAGGCTTTTTAAAATCAGACGGTCATTAAAAATATTTAAGATAATTAGTACATCGGATGTCCAAGATAAAAGATAATTAAAATTCAATAATTCAACTTGCTCGATGACAGAGGTAAATCGAAATGACAATCCAAGTTTTGACACAAGGCATAAACGACAAATGACATTTCCGACAGTTATAATGTCTGGGTCAAATAACGAAAACGGTTCCAACCGTTACAAAATATGTAGGTACTAGAATGTGGAAGATACTATAAATATAATCCACAAAAATCATACCTGAGAGAGGCGACGACATATTTCTTGTGAGATCAGGTTTCCACTTTGCCCAACTTCTTTTTTGGTCTTCGGTAGTGGATTACCGACTAGTTCCTGCACGAACTTGATGTTTTGCACCATCATCCTGAAAATAAAACTTAAATTAACTCACTGGCATATATTATCAGTACAATTTTAAACAAGGCCTTTAGGGTGAGATTACAGAACGTCTGCAACTTTGCAGATCTGCAAATATGGCGGCAACTTTGAAAATCTGCAAATATGACTGACTCACACATGCAAGTATCAAGTTTTCGTATTCCAAATTTGGGTTTAGTGTTGTTGGGGGTAATAAACCACAATAAATATTGCGAATTTGCAGATATTTTTTGGAATACTTACATTTGTAAGTCCGCCATATTTGCAAAGTTGCAGACGTTCTGTAATCTCACCCTTAATTTTAAATTATTTCTTTGTTGTTTAAAACTTACCGCTGTCAGAGTGTTGTCAACCACTATTTCTATATTTTCCACAATCTGCATATTTGCTATTGTATCATCATCGTCATCATCATCATCATCATCATCATCATCATCATCATCATTATTAGTAGTTTTCTGGATATCTTAATAATCAGGCATAGCTCGTTTATTTGAAAAACATGTTTACAATATTTTTTATGTAAAAATCAATGCAGCCACTATACAGCTATTTCATTTCAAAACTAGCCACCCAAAATAACTTTTAAAATATCTTTAAAACAAATTTATTTTAGCTTGTTTTTTTTTAGGCAGTCGTGAAACGTACTCTTGAACAGTGGCCAGCTCTGCTGTTATATTTTAATGCAGCTATTTTGGAAGATAATTTGGTCGCAGCTTCTAACATTCACAATGCTCTAAATAATGTAATTTTTAAGTTATATTTAACATTTCTTGCATCTATTTTACCATTAATTACAAAATTAAATTTGGAGTTTCAAGCGGAAAGACCCCAATTATATAATATATATGACCGCATTCAAACAACTACTAAAACAATTTTTAAAAATTTTATGAAATCTAATTACATTGATAGTGCCCCCTTTTTAGAATGGGATGAATTAAATTCAAGACAATACAAACCTCTTGAAGAAATATATTTAGGAGCCAATGTTGATTTTATAATCAAATCCCAAAATTCTAGTAATCATGAAATTCATGACTTCAGACTTAAGTGTTTAAGTTATTACATTGAACTTTGTTCACAATTAAAGAAACGTTTTCAAAACATCCAAGTATATAAAAAATTTCAATGTTTAAGTCCATCTCATGTCCTTACTGGCAATTCAAGTATAATCGATCTACTAATTGCATTTCCTCATATTTGCAAAAACAAATTTGAGCAAATTAGTAGTGAATTTAGAGAAATCTGCAATTTACCTGAATCCATTAAGAGTGATTTATTGACCTTAGATTTTTAACATTTTTGGTTCAAAATATTTAAATTTAAAAACGCACTAAATGAGAAATGTTTTGAAAATGTTTGTTTATTTGTGTTCAATATTATGTGTCTACCCCACAGTAGTGCTTGTGCAGAGAGAACATTCTCTGATTTAAATAATATAAAAACCAAAAATAGGAATCGATTATTGCCCACCACAATAAATTCGTTGCTAATGGGGAAAGAACTGTTAAACAATAAACAATGTTTTGAATGGGTTCCATCTGGCTTGTTAGTTAATAAAAAAGTTGAATATTGAATATAATTGAGTATTATTTATCCCTAAAAAAAATTAATTAAAGTAACGTAAGAATAAGTATGAGTTAGCATTTAATTTAGTTTATAATTTTAAATAAAAAGCCTATATATATCACAATCACGACACATTCAATAGGATAGTAATTTATAATTTAGAAAGTCATCTGTGTGCAATCTGCTTCACTCACCACAGAGTTTAGAGATATGCCTTGCCTATTGTATTAGATTTAAGAGAGACAGAAAAACGAAATTAGTGAACTCAAATTGTTTTTTGAATGTCATTATGTGCTCGTCATTTCAGTTGGAGCAACTGTCTGTCAACTGTCAGTACTTTTTATGTTCAGTCGATACCGTTTTCAGTATTACTGCAGTACTTTTACTTTCCTATTGCTGGCAACGCTGGTTTTATACACCCATAAAAAAGTCAAAGGGCGTTAGGTCGGGTGATCTCGCTGGCCATTCTATAGCGCCCCTTCTTCCGATCCATTTATCTGGAAATGTCTCATTAAGCCAATTTCGTACAGGCAAGGCATAATGTGGAGGTGCTCCGTCCTGTTGAAAAAGTAGGTTTTCTTCGTCTAGTAACAAATTTCCATCTTGATCTATTTGGTTTTCTAGGGATTCGGTTATAAGAGGGTTTATCAGATTTTCTAATAAGTTCAAATACAATTCCCCAGTTATATTTTCCTCCATGAAAATAGGACCAATAATTTTATTACCAAGAATTCCGGCCCATACGTTGATTTTCTGAGGATATTGGCTGTGCTTTTCCCGAAAAACATGTGGATTTGTATTGTACCTACAATTATGTTTATTGACAAATGCATTTAAAAAGAAACTAGCCTCGTCAGTAAAACAAATATTTTTAATAAAATTATAGTCTTCATTTGCCCTTTAAGTCATTAATTCGCAAAATTCTAATCTTCTGTCATAATCATCCTCAGCAAGCTGTTGTAAAAGCTGTATTTTGTAAGGAAAGAATTTATTTAGCCGTAACGTTTTATGCACAGAGCCAACGGAAATATTTGTTAATCTGGAGACTTTTGGTATTGATGTTTGAGGTTCCATGGCAAAATGACCTAAAATCTCAACTTGTGCAGCTTTAGTTAAAACTCTACGATTCCTTACACTTTTATTGCACACACTTCCAGTTTCTTGAAATTTATGAACTAAATCCAACACATACTGATGCCCAACATTTTTATCGGGATGTCTCTGATTAAAAACACGAGCAGTTCTGCGTGCACAGCGTTGTTCTTCACCATAAATAAAGATTGTTTCAATTCTTTCCTGTAAAGAATAAACCATTGTCAAAATTAAATTGTTTTAATTTAGGGTCAAAAATATCTTACGCAAAAAACATTTAAGGCTTTTTGCTAACTTGTTTATCTCGGTATTTATACTCATGCATTTTAATTCAATATTTTTAATTTTTTTCGGTTTCTAGGTTATAACTTGGTGAAAAATTAATCCGATTTAAAAAAATAATGTGTTAAAAGATTGGAAAAAAGAGACCTTTAAGAAGAGCTATCACATGATACCCCTTTCTATTTAAAATTTTAGAAGTGATATTCACCACCGCTTAGGGGATGAAACTGCACGGTTACAAATGCTTGTAAAATGTGTCCCTCCGTTAATATAAATTAACGTGTTTTTTTGTTTTAAAGATATTTTAAAAGTTATTTTAGGTGGCTAGTTTTGAAATGAAATCCCTGTATATAGGTCTATTCTATTGTTACTATGATGAATGATACATTTTCAGCTCATCAGAAGTGAAAAATAAAACATAATATAACTGCTATTTCAGTTGTAAATCGCAGTCGCTTGAGTTCAAACCTTTTTGTCTCATAGGGACTAGTTAAAACACTTTTTAAATCATTACATTACTTACCACTGGGTAAATCATCCTCATCAAAACGATCTTCTAGCCCATCCAAACTTATGCATATTAATCCATAAATTTTATATTCGTTAGTGGAAAGATCTGGGCCGGTATTTTCGTTCTCCAGCATGAAAGCGACACGTTTTTAAAAACGCAGAGCGAAACGACTCGCATAGCAAAAGCGAATTAGGTATTCCCGTTAGTGTGCGCGTCGCATTTATTCAATCCGCCCAGCACACGTTGGCAACGTTGCTTATTCCAATGTCGCCAACATTTTTTTAGTATGTTTTTGACTTTCATTTAAATTTTTACGGATTGGGAACACTGAATTTAATATAAATGCCAGTGTGTTTTGTGATGCCAGTGTAATTGTGCGATATATAAAAGGTCTGTGAATTGTTCTTATGAATGTAATTGTTATTAAGTTATTTAAAAAAATGGAAGGTGTGAAACGAACACTAAAAAAGCAAATATCATCTGCTCAGAAAGTAATTCTTATTGAATTTGTGGAAGAACATCCGGAGTTGGTCAGCAATAAGCACACAAACCAATTCACGTCTGCAAATGCCCAAAGGCTGTGGCAGGAAGTTTGTGTAAAATTAAATTCTACACCAGGGGCTGAAAAAACATGGCAAGAATGGCGAAAGGTATGTAATGTTCAAAATAAGTAAAACCGTGTGTAGGGTGTATAAACTATGATCACCTAAAGAAATTTTCATTAAGTGCTATTTTATAATTATATTTTGTTTTAGACTTGGCGTGACCTCAAAAGTAGAACAAAACAGAAAATTTCTGAAATTAAGAAGGAAATTAACAAGACAGGAGGAGGACCCAACACAGCTGATGTTATTGAAGAAATTGATGAGAAAGTTTTAGGTATAATGGGTATGTTTCATACTAATTTTATTACTCTTGACCAATAATATATGGGAGTACATAGTGGGAGGCTAAGTGATCATTTTAAGCTTAAGAAAATAAATAATGTTCATGAAGGTTAAATTAGCCTGTAGAAAAATACCTTGATTGAATTTGTTTTTTCAGCAACTCCAATAAAGGCAGACGGAGATGCTGAGATGTCATAAGTCTCGGCACATTGTTTGTGAAAGACTGTGCAGGTGATTTCTCACTCGTATTTTTCTACAGGTTAATTTAACATTGATATGTTCTCCAATTTGACCCTAGAACAAGGGCGTAGCCAGGATTAGCTATGATTTTGTTCAGGGGGGGGGGCAAACTTATTTAAACCTTTAATTATTCTCAATAAACATGTACAAATATATACAAAAAGATTAAAGCAAGGGGGTCGCCCCCCCCCTGCCTGGCTACGCCCATGCCCTAGAACCATTTACAACTGTGAATCAGTGCCATCAGGCATGTCGCTTAGATCATGCGAGTAATATTTTATATAAATTCTATAAATATTAAATAATTAGCAATTTTTATTAAAATTAAAGATCAAAACCATGCAGTTTTTATCAATCAAGTCTTTATTATAATAAATCGTTCAGGAAACTTTAAAATACAAATAAATGAAAAACATTTTTTAAATTTTTTATTGGTTCAATACAAATCAAAAATGATAATCACACTTTTGATTTTCTTAATTAATTTAGGCAGAATTTTTAATGTAAAAACTGAACTTTTTTAAATATTTATACTAACAAATACAAGAAATGAAGCTTACCTGTCTGTTTTAGGAGGTGATATTGTAATTGATGGTTTATTCAGCATTCCAGAATTGGGTTTGCCAGTTAATGATACTAATAAATTGGTAGACCATCTATATTGCAATATGGATGAGGAAGACATTGGAATAAATGAAGAAATTGAAAGAGAAGAAGAAGCTACCCCAGTCAAAAAAAAATGTAATATAAGAGTAAGACCACCACTGAACATATTAAGAAATACAGCCTCAAATCGCTCAACTAAAGAAATGGCTGCTAATAAGGCTGCAGTTGATTTGGTAAAGGTTACGCAAGAAACAAATACTATTAAAGAGAATTATTACAATAAAAAGCTCCAAATAATGGAGGAGAGTTTGGAGATACAAAAAAAAAGGCTGAAAATTCTGGAAAGAATTGCAGTTGGGGTTGAATTATTATTAAGAAAATAATTGCAATAATTGTTTTAATCCAAACACATGTTATACAGTGTAGGAAATTATGTTAGGAATATATAATAAAACAATTAAAAACCTATTAAGCTCTTTATTTTAACTAAGAGTATAAAGGTACATATTCATTTGGGCGATTCGAAATTCGTCTTAGTTATCAGGTAAACATAGAAAAGGTGTACGATAATACCTAGTTCAAAATTATTTTCTAGCATAAAGTTTTCTTTTCTTGAAGTTTTGTACAAATGTTCATTTAAATAACTGTGAACATCCTGGGCAGATCGAGGCAAAGCAGGCAATGTTTTGCGCCTACTATTCTACATTTTTTGCTTAATACACTTCAAATCGCGGCATGTTAATGTTTCAGACATATTATTTGCCGCTAACTCCTTGTGCATTATCTTTGCTGGTATTTCTGTAAGATCCTCTTCTGCTTTTCTTTTGCACGCAACACTTAGAACTTGTCTTGCAACGTTTTCTTCAGGCTCGTGGTTATGTTGTTACGAGAAAGCTGCCAGGTTCTCCCACGGTGTACACATATACATGACATTTTGGCCGTTTAATGCACCTCCAAACAATTTCATTTGTGGTACGGCGATATTCAGAAAACTTATAATTTTCATGTACAATTTGAGTTTTTCCACGTTCACTTACAATTTCTTTTACAAACGACATTTTAAATTTTGCGACAGGTGTACAACACACACTAAGGACAAATAGCAAATAAATATAGAATGTACTATTAATAATTCATCGACACCCGAAATGTACTAACTAAATCTAGGTAATAAAATTGAGACGAATTTCGTACCGCCCATTCATTTAATTATGCACCTGCTTATTTTTTTACTGGACTGATTTGGTATATTTACATTGCTTTAATAGTTATATTATACACATATTTAGCCTATTTACCTAACCATCTTTTGATTGATTAATATTTGGACTACATATTAAATTTATCAATGAACAGGATTAAAATATATAATGAATTTTGCAAAGCAATATGGCAACTTTACAGTTTAAAATAACTTTTGAGTGTCAGTCTTACTGTATAGAGTGAGCGATATTTGATTTTCTTCGCCACCCCCAGTTTAATTAAAAAAAAACAAAGTATGAGCAGGAGTGTAACTGAAAGGTACCCTACCTTAAAACTAAAACACTTTAATAAAATTAAAAGTGCCTAAAAACACTAAAAATAATTCCTAACTATAAGATTTCTTAGTTGGCGGCCTCTAGCCAGATAGTTATTTCTGTGTTCATGTGTCACTTCATTTACAATATTTACAAAAGCATTATCTTCAACTACATAGGGTTCCTCAATGTACAACGGCACATTATTATCCATACATAAATTGTGTAGAACAGCACAACTATTGATAATTTTTGCTGCAGTTTGTGGAGCATAGTGCAGAACTCTGTCTTTTAACAAACACCTAAATCTGTTTTTAAAAAGTCCAAAACATTGCTCAATTTGAACTCTTATTTGTCGGATTCTGTGGTTAAACCTATGCTCTGCAGTTCCAGGTTCTGGTTCAGGAAGAATTGGAGTAACCAACCATGGCCGAAGAGGGTAGCCTGAGTCTCCTAAAAAAAGAAAACATATTTTGTATTGAAATGTTTAATCAATAATTTTTATCTGTACAAAGAATCCTTAATTTAAATTTTTATGAAATTTAGGATAATAGTTTTTAACATGTGCATGGGAAATCTTAATTTTTTTAGATACAGTGTTTATAATCCTGAATTTTAATTTCTTAATACCCAACAACATAAATGCAGCTCATTAGAGAAAACTTAAATATTTCAAAAATGAGCATAGTAAAAATTTTAATAACCAGTACTAAAGAATGCAATTCAAAAATAGTTTTTTTCAACTTTCAACAAAAATTTCTATTTGAAATGACAACAGTATTTCTGTGGTGACAGTATACTTTTAATATTTCTCATAAAATGACAATGGCTTTTTTTACTTGAATTTTGAATAGAAATTACTCAAGTCTTAAAATTGTTCATAGATTTTTTTAAGATGATTATACTTTTAAAAAAGGAATACACATAATTTACCCAATAATTTGTAAAATTAAAAAAAAAAATGAGATTAGAAAACATACCCAATAAATAAAAATTACCCATTTGGTCTTCAGGTAATGTCCTTAGAAACTGTTCCACATTGGAGTTACGCCAAATGAAACTATCATAGATACTTCCAGGATATCGAGCAAATACATTCATGATCTTTAAATTTTCATCGCAAATCTAAAACGATTTTAAAATGATGCCCATTACCTATATTATTTATCAAAAGTATTTTTGCTACACAGTTGTTTATATTCTACACTAAAATAATTTAAAATCAAATCTTTGATATGCTCTTTATAAGGTGTATATAAATAAGAAACTAAGTAATTTTATTTTATGAATAAAATTTTGCAAAAGGCAAACATTTTTAATTCAGTACATCATACTGTTACAGAATATGAGATAAGCCTTAAAAAATCAAAGCAAATTACTGTTAGTAACTGGCAAAAAGTTCTCAACAATAGTTTAGAACCTTTATCAAGATCATTTTTTTGGACAAATCAAAAATAAATGTTTTTTCAATGTTTCCACTTTCTACCATTTACTGTACATATTGCTATTTATCATGTACTCTACAATAAGTTACATTTGATCCTTTTCATTGCTTAATACATACCATTTGGACATTCAATGAATGGAAATTTTTTCTGTTTATATATATAGATGCTCATTTTCAACTGGGCTTACAATTGCAATGTGAGTGCAATCAATGCATCCAAGCAACCCCGGCAGCCTTTGTTTTCTAAAAACCCTGAAATAATACAGGGTGTTTCAAAAAACATGTGTCATCTCTCGGGGGGTCAATCCTTACCCAAAAATAAGACAAATAGTTGCTTTTAATTAATAATTTAAATACCTAATTGTGCTATCAAAGAATGAAAAGGTCAGTGGCGTAGATATTTTTTGTTAAAATTATTAAAGCGCCCGTTCGGACGCACACCCATGGCTAACCTGGTTAAAGCCGTTTTGTAAATATTTTGAAAAAATAATAATTGTAACACCCTGTATCTTTGATACAATGCATATGCAGAATTACCCCACGAGCGATGGCACATATGTTGGATGTATATATATAATATATGCTGTCAAATTGAGCAACATGAATTATTGTATAATTTTAATTTACTATAAACATAGGCACCTTTCTCTAAGATCTGTTAGTTCTTCCAATGAGTTGGGGAAATGAACACTATTTAAAATTTCTGGATGGTTCATAGCATCCAACACCTCATGAAGACACTTTGACACTGATGGTTGGCTAATTGAGAGAGTGTGATTTCTTCCAACATCCAACTGATAGCTTCCTCCAGCAAAAAAACGAAGTGTGGATAAAATCTAACAAATAAGCATACTCTTTAAATTAGTGCATATTCTCTTAAAGGAATACACTACATACCTTTATTCTGTTGCTGATTGCATGAACTCTATTGCGTAGGGGCAAATAGGGTGTAAGCATTTCTTCTAAGTTCTCTACATCAACCTTTCTCAATCTGAATAGTTTACAGAAATTATAGTCTGATAAGTCAAACGGATCGTCTGGAAAATATATTTGCCTTTCTACTCTTTCTCTCACATTTTCCAGCAAGTTTACCACAATATAAGGCAATGCCATGATTGTTGTAAAGACCTATGAAACAAGAAACGTAGTTATTTGCCTAGGTTGTTTTAGGTAAACCTGTCAGGCAAGCCTTAAAGTACGAAATAAAAGTGATGTTTTTTTTAGAAAAGCGTTACATATAGTCCACAGCCCACCACCCATTTGTTTTTAATGAGTAGGTTATATTAGTATGCGGAGGAGTGGAGCAGTGGGGTAGGCCAGATGTTTCCGGCCACGTGCTTGCTAGATGTTTCCGGCACATCTGGCGGCCACCTGTTGTCGGTCATCTGGTGAACACATGGCCATCTGGTAGGAGTTTATTTACATGCATTTGTAATTTAATATCTTTGAGAACATTCCACATACGTCCGGCCAGATGCGTACCAGATGTATCCGGCCAGGCCTTTTATTTTTTTGTTATTTTTATATTGGTGGGGTGAGCCTTTCAATAGTATTTAAGCTTCTCCTCTACTCAGAACTGCAAACTTGAGCAATATGAGCTATCGGTGTGTCACTCCTGAAATTATGTTTCAGAAGACAGATAATATACAGCTCATATACAAAACATCAACCCTTCGAGATCTCTCGGCAAATTCATTATATTGGGCTTTTAAAGACATGAATCCGGAAATCATCGGGATACGTGACAAAAAATTTGTGATGCCCCAGTTTATAACGGACCAATTAAATGTATACGCCATGGTGCAATTAAAGAAGCAAATTTGTAAAAATGAACGTTAGGTGCGTCACTCCAGAGGACCCAGGATAAAGTTTCAGCAATAATGCAATTAAAGAGACATAATAATAAAAATGAGTGAATTGAACTAAAAGTTTTAAATAAATATATTACCCGCCACTGAAATTAATTCGTGTTAGTGAAACAGAAATCATGAATAGTACAATATATTTCGCACCGCAAAAAAGTTGGATGTAGAAACAGTATATATTTTTATCCTGCTATATGAGAACGAAAAATGCATTCATTTAATTGCAATATAAAAAATATATAAGCGCACATGAGAAACAGAAAATAATATTTACATCCTGCTACATGTATTCATGTAATTGTAAAATAAGAATAAAAGTGCACATATGCTTCACTGTCTGAGAAACGCAATGAATTTAGAATTGGCGTTCAAGAAAAAAATCGCGACAAGCAAAAACTTAACGCTCATTTTAAATGCATCCTGTGTATCAATATAAAAAATTATGGTAACATCCTCTGTGAACTATTTTACCCGCTAAAAAATCCACAAAGTAAAACCTGGATGAGTGGGATACATAAGCGTTATTTTCTGATTGGCTGAATTTTAAACCAAAT